ATTAGAGCATAAGCTTAAATTTGTTAGTCTCTAAGGTGCCACAAGTACTCCTGTTCTTTTTGCGTATAATGGGGTTGCTGATGACGGAAACCATGTATTTGGTATTACTACTGCAAGCCAGGGGTGCAGCAGCATCCCCAACAACCCTAGTTCCAGCACTACCAAGTAGATATGTCAGAAAAAATATCCATAATTGGCACTTTTGTTGGCAGCGTCCAGGCTAGAGTTCAGGCACACTGGCAAGGCAGAGCAGGAAGTGCACACTGCTGTACTTGCTCTGCCAGTGCAGTGGAAGAATTTAGTTTCCAGATTTGTCAATCCAGCACCTTTCACTGGCACAAAATTCACATATAGAGATATAATGTAATAAGCTTTGTAGGGTAGGGATAGTACCTCTGTGCGATCTGCACATTTGCAGGGCTTATATGCACATAATTTTAACAATAACAAAGCACAATGGAAGAACATTCTAGACTTCCATCAGCTGAGCTATTTAAGAGTGATTTTTTTAAGGTAGGCAAACTGCCGACACTATTCTAATAGCACCGCACTATATCTTACGCATCTAATTGTTTTTACTGAGTACACATATACAAGGTCATAGTTTAATAGGGTTATTTACCTTACAAATGTACAGTAACAACATACAATAAAGCCCTTTCACACCAAAGTACTTCACAAACTAATTATAGGAATTGATTTACCCATAGCTGAAATGCAGCCATCTTTGGAGTGGAGCATAGCAGCACTGCACAGCAGTTTAGGACAGAAGGTGACTCAGGACTTGTCTACACAGCAAGTTACTGTGCAGCAAGCCAGGGTATAAATCTGCAGTGCACCAGCTTGCCACATAGTAACTCACCACGTGGACATGGCTACAGTGCAGTGAAAATCTTCAAGTAGCAGTAGGCTAAGCTGCACTGCAGGACTTTCATGTGCTGTAGCTATATCCATGTGGCAGGTTACTGCATGGCAAGCTTGTGCGCTGTAGATTCACAACCTGGCTTGCTGCGCAGTAATGTCCTGTGTAGACAAGCCCTTATAGTCCAACCAGTGCACACCATGCAACGTAACATGGAATCTATATGTTAGTCACTACTGTATCAGGATGTGGAATAAATTGAGAATCTTCCACCACAAAACACCAACCCACGTTATTGAAAACCACAGTATCAGATAAGTGTGCAAGCAATGTCTGGTGCATGCACAAATATGAGCAAGCATATTAAATCCAAACAAAATGGATTGGTTGGTTTCAAGTTCTAGATGATTTAAGAGTTCCCAGCTGGATTTCTTTGCTTGTTTCCCTGAGCCCCTTTCTCCTAGTGGGGTGAGTTTGGGTGTTAGATTGTTAGTCACATTTTGCAACCAGACCAGTTCTGGAATAGCATGAGACTGGGGCCTTTGCTTAACCATCTCTGGTAAATGCTTTAGTTTCTTCAAAGATCTGCGTGCTGTAATTCTCTGTTTGCAGAGTATGGACCACATTGGCATAGGCCCTTTTGTGGGCTAGAGGGTAGGGAGAGGAAATGCACAAAGAGCCTTCCACACAATATTCCCTATGCAAGAGCCCCTCATAATTACAGTCCCTGTGGCTCCAGGCACGTATAGCAAGCAGGGAGGAAGCAAAAGCATGGAGCTGTCCAGGCACACAGGTGGGGAAGTATGCCATATGCCACGAAGGGGTATAACACTCCCCTTGCAGGTGAGGTAACTTACTAGTTATGACTGAGCCCTACATTTTGTATAAAATACGGTATGTACAGACTGCAGCAGACTGCAGTTTTGCAGATACCTAATAGAACAGATGGGATCTCTTTTAAGATTCTGCCATTGGCTCACCAGTACCTTCAGTATAAACGTCAGAATTTTATTATTTACTTTTAAGGCACTTAAAGGTCTTAAATCTGAAGACACTTAATGGGCTTCCCTCTGTATTCCCTGGAACTTCTGATACCCCATGGAATATACTCTTCACCGCGTCCGAGCAGAGCTCAGGTTGAGTAGGGGAGTGGGAGAGTGCAGCGGGCCAGTTGCAGCTCCCTGATTCTCAGCCACCTGGCTTCAGTGCAAGATAGTGCTGTTCAGGAGCTTATGCCACTGGTCCTTCTGCTAGTAGAGGGCCAGGCATAGCAGGACTCCACTCTGCCATGCCTCCACTCACCCCATTGCTGCCTTGACAAATCCTTTCCTGAGGGTTTGAAATGGGGGGTGTTCTCCTGAGGTTGACAAGGGTGTTACTTTACCCTTTGCCAGTCTCTGGGTGGGGTAGATTCACCCTGTCACAATGACACTACGTCAGCGTATTTTGTTGTATATAGTGGTCTCATCCAAACCCATTTTGCTATTACTGCAAACTTTATAAACAACATAGTTGTTCAACCTCATATCATGTTGCTCTTGAATTTCACCCGAAGCAAAGACAAAATGACCAATCCACAGGCTTTGGGAATTGTAGGCCACCTGCCTGATGATGTGGGCTCAACTAGCTACAGAAGTTGTGTACACCAAAAGCCACTGCTTGGTTTGAAAGTGCTGTTCTCCGAATGTTTTCTTCTCCCAGCAGTGCGCAAGGGGTACAGGATCCAGGCCGACAAGGAGAGGGATTCCATGAAGGTGTTGTACTACGTCGAGAAAGAACTGGCACAGTTTGACCCAGCCAGGAGGATGCGAGAGCGATGTGAGAAACAGGCATTGTATGACCCTTCCCAGAGGGGCCTGGACTAGATGACCTCTCGAGGTCCATTCCAGTCCTATGATTCTATGATTAATAGTCTGGAAATTCATAGTGAAGGTTCCACAAACAAATTGAACTTAGACCCCATGGCCTAGCTTTTCAAGAATGTATGATGCCTAGAGTTAGGCTCAGAACATAAATAGGCACCAAAATCTGTGGCATGATTTTCAAAGGTGTGGTTAATCTAGCAGCTCTCACTTAAGTCAGTAGGAGCCGTTCGATGTTCAACACTTTTAAAAATCAGCCCTGTTTATGTAAAAACGTAAATAAGGAGTTAGGACCCTAACTTTTGACACCCATGTTTGAAAATCTAGGCCCACATTCCTGCCTTCTCTGTCATATAGCTATGATATAACTGTGGGTGTATGAGACAGTGTGGTGTCTGTATAGTTTTAGGAGGAAATGTGGGTCTGTAATAAGTCTCTTAAGGTATATGTTATGTTATTGGTATAACTGCCCCAATATGCTTTGGGGGATGGAGAGGTAGTTTGTATTGGCCACCTCAGTGAAATGGTGGATCTGAAACAGTACGGTTGTTTCTTGCATTTACCAGGAGAAGAGATGTCAGGGATTTTAGCTGTCAATGTGTGGGCAGTTACAGTGGAGGAAGGTTTGTGACACTGGACAATATGGGATGGGTCAGAGGCACTTTGTAGATTGGTATTTACAGTCTAGGGGGTGCGGGATAGAGTTCACACAGG